TGAACCTCTTACCTTACAAAGTTAAACAAAAATAGAAGTGTTTTCCCAAGTCAAGATATTAAAGAAGCATCTAATTATCTATGATAGCTACATGAATAATTTCTTACAGTATATTCTGACAACCAGCAAAAGCTGCTTGTGTTGGCTTAATATAAAATTAACATATTCAGAATAAATATACATAAAATATATATGTAACATCAAAGATTCAAGGTAGGGCCAGGGACAGAAAGATAAGATAGTAAATGAAAACTTGAGCCATGACAAAGAATATTGGACTATATATAGATAAATAAGTCACAAGGAGGTGTCTTTATGTGATAAACAAGAGGTGGGAATGAGTATGGTATATGTAGTATCCCTTCCTTAACTCTCTTAATCAGGCACTTCTTAGTACATTCACCTCAATTAACCTTTTAACCATTCTCCCTGCAAAACATGATGCCTAAGGCATGCTGAATACTGGAGCCAAGGCAGCTTCTTGTACTCCACACACTTCTGCTCCCACCAGTTGAGCTACATGCTTACCAAGAGTCCCTTGTGTTTATTCCTCAAAACATGCTTATACCATTTGTGATTGTTACTATAATTACAGTACTTAATGTAATTAAACATTAAGTAAAATAGTGGAATGTAAGTGTGAAAAAAAGAGTTGTGTTATATAATCTAAATAGAAAGGTGCCAGGTAAACTACTACTGTCAAATTAGGTAGATATAAGGTAATTTTCCTCGGAAGGAAGATGGGACAATCTACTTCCGTAGTGATTCTGCCTCGGAAACCCAAGGAGGGGTCGCTATGAGTCAGGTCTGACTCGACGGCACATAACAACAACAACAAGGTAATTTTAAAAGATTGGAGCAGAGGAGTATGGAGGAATCATAAAAATTTGGAAATTTACACCTATATTAGTTTGGAAATCCTTTCATTTATTGCTCCCCTTAAAAAAAAACTGGGAAAAATAGTAATTCTACAGATTAATAATTACTAATGATGAGTTCAGGTAGCATAGTGCCTAAAGCACTTGACTGCTAACCAGAAGGCTGGCGGTTCAAACCCACCAGCCACTCCTCGGAAAGAACGTTGGGCAATCTACTTCCATAGTGATACTGCCTCAGAAACCCAAGGAGGGGTCGCTATGAGTCAGGTCCAACTAGACGGCACATAATAGCAACAACAAAATGATGACTTGATATGCACTAGGAATTAGTCTAAGCCCTTCACATATATCAAACTTGTTTAATCATTAGAAGAACCTGAGTTAGTAGTATTATCATTCCTATTTTACAGATAATGGAAATTGAGGCACAATGAGGTAATTTGCCCAAGGTTATATTCCTTATGAGCACTGGAGCTGGATTTGACCCACTGTTTGGCTGTTAATTACTACATTGTACTGAGGCAATGTAGGTATACTTTCTAGATAAAAGAAGAAACCCCTGTCAAGTGGACTAATAAAAGCTTTAGACCTTCATCAAAAGATGAGCAAATAAATGCTCAGCTATAGGGTTTAGTTTTTAAAAAGTTTAAATTTTGCAGTTTTTTTTAAAAAAAAATTATTCCCTTGCCTTAACTGACCTTTAAACCAAAAAAAAAAAAAAACCCAAACTTACCCCCAAGAGGTCAGATCTGACTCATACTGACCCCTGCTTGAGTTTAAGTAGATTGCCCAATCTTCCTTCCAAGGAGTGGCTGGTGGGTTTGAACCACCAGCCTTCTGGTTAGCAGTCAAATGCCTTAGGCACGATGCCACCAGAGCTCCCTGGACTACCATAGAACAAGCAAATCTGTCTTGGAAGAAGTACAGCCAGAATGTTCATTAGAAGCAAGGGTGGTGAGACTTCATCCATGAACTTTGGACATGTTATCAGGAGGGACCAATTCCGGAGAAGGACATAGCAAAAAACCAAACTCACTGCTGTGGAGCTGGATCCGACTCATAGCGGCCCCTCCTTGGGTTTTGGAGCCGATATCACTACAAAAGTCGATTGCCCAATCTTCTTTCCCAGGAATGGCTGGTGGGGAGTGCTTGGCAAAGTAAAGGTTCAGGGGAAAAGGAGGAAGACCTCAACAAAATGGATTGACACTGTGGCTGTAACACAGGCTCAAACATTGCAATGATTGTGAGGATGGTGCAAGACCAGGCAGCGCTTCCTTGGGTTATACATAGGGCCATAGTGAGTTGGAACTGACTGCAGGGCACCTAACAACAGCCTATGTATGTTTTCAAATAAATGTGAAACACTTAAATATGAAAATTTTTTTCAACCAAATTTTAAAAAGGGCATAGTTAAACCACTGAGGAGAGAAATTGGTAATATTTCACACATTCACTCAATTGAAAGTGTTTTCAACAGCAATTTTTCATTTAAAACTGAGTCTTTCCCATTTTAAGATTTGCTAGACTTGCAGAAAAAACTGAGGAGAAAGTTGGGAACCCTTGTAGAAATCAAAAATTATTTAAAAGTCAGGAGTATCCCCCACCTAGGATTTGAACAAGTATGCCTTAAGCTGGATTCTTGGAGCAAAGATTCTGGTATAGGGGGAACAGGCATTCTTTTGGATAATTTTTATGATCCTTTTAATTTTTTCATATATACACCTTATTATAACTCTTCAACAGATGTGTAAAAATATTAGCATGAGCTAACTCACTTTAAAAATGTACTTAAAATATTATTGTAGGATTGGATATTGACCTTTTCCCATGAATGCTGGTATAGAGACCGAATTCAGAAAGATACCATGTAGCACTTGAGACTTTCAAGTTGGAAAACCTGGCTTGTACACAAAGCAGCATTCTTGGATAGATTCTTATTTAGTGTTCACGATGAAATGTCCAACGCAAAGGCCTTTCTAGTCAACTTGCTCCGAAAGACGAGAGAACATAAATCATCTCTTCTGGATTCGCAAGGGGATTTTGTTAACACTGATTTACTCAGCACTCTTCAAAAAAAATTCTGATAGTTGAGAGTTCTATGTTCGCAAAGGCTTTGGTTCTCTTTTCCGAGGAGGCGTTTCTTACTTTGCCAAGATGGCGGCCTCAGAATCTTCTGGGGCCATCCTGCGTAGTCCACCTCCGGAAAGGCCGCTTTCTAATATCCTGGCTATTTATTTTCATATCAGGCAACGCACAGGACAACGTTTAACCTTCAGAACCTAGGACAAGAGCCTTAGACTGCCCGCAATTCAGAGCCTTCGCAAAGATGGTGGTCATGAATCCAGGCGAGCGTCAGTGCCCTTTACCAAGATGGCGGCGAGCGACTTCCGGCGCGCGCTTCTCCAATCCTCTCAAGATGTCAGAGCAGAGGCAGCGGCTGCTAGAGTCCGAGCGCTACGCGAGAAGAGAACGCGGCTGCTGCCAAGCGCCGGGTTGGGACTAGGTGGAGCTGGGGGCAGACTCTGCCTCTGCCAGAAGCCGGCAAGTACTGTCACCTGTGAGGGCGCAAAAGTTACCTTCCTAAATCCTAAAGCGACACAGCACAACCTTCTCCCAAGTCTCAAAAATTTTAGTATGTGCCGCACAAGGTAGGAGGCTCGGTCCCGGAACCACACAAGCCCTCTGGACGCGGCAAGCCGGGCGAGGGGCTGGGGCCGGGGCCTCCTACCCTAACCCTACGCCCCTCTCCCTGGGGATGGGCCACGTGTTTCCCTCAGACTGAGAAGGAGGCGCGTAACGGGAACAGCTGGAGGGATTTTTAACGCTGACATTTTTAAGCTGCGTGTGTTTTATTTTATTTGGAGGGACGGGGTCTTATGAACAAGAAAGGGTGGGCAAAGAGTTGAACAGAGTGCAGCAACTGTCAGGATTCGGGGGAGGGGCCTCCATAGGGAACTTGGACGCGGTCCCCGGAGGGGGTGAGAGGAGAGGTCAAGGAGCTGGGGGTGGGTGAACGCGTGCTTCGCAACTTACTATTTTGCCTGCCACTTGCTTTTAGGCTTGCCACCCCCTGCTTTCCTTAAAAATAATAATAAAGTACAAAGAAATCCAGCTCACCAGAGGTTTTGCATTTGGCATGCAACTTCCTTTAAGTGTGAGCGCGCTAGGAGGGAAGGAGGGGTGGGGGTTGAACTTGGCAAGCGGCGCCTCCTTCTGCTGCCGACGCCTCGCAGACTCGGGGAAGAGGGTGGGGGACGGCCGGGGCGCGGGGGAGGGTGGGTTCTGCTTTGCAACTTCTCTCCGGGTGCAAGAGCGCGGCAGCGGCTGCAGATGAGGCCGCCCAGACGATGCGGGGGTGGGGGGCCTGCAGGCACGAGACTACCCTCGGGCCCAGAGTACGTATGCGCTGATCCCCTCTTCTGCCCTCCCTTCCTTTAAAGCTCTCCAGAGGGCGTGTCTGGCCGCCTGGCCCCGGGAGCGACCGAGAAGCTGCGGCAACATTCGGTGCAACCCGGTAGCCCCGTGCGAAGTGACACTTCGTGCAACTCGGTTCGGGGACGGCGCCGAAGACCACCTTAGCGGCTCTGCTGCGGGTCGCTCCTGGGTTCCCCTTGCCTGACCTCTGTCACTCTCTGGCGCATTGGTGCCACCCGCCACCTAAGGAGAGGGCGAGCTCCGGAGTGGGTCGGGAGCTGGGGAGCGGGGCGGGGGCGGGAAAGAGGCAGCGAGAAAAGAAACTAGAGAAACTAGGCTCCCCTCCTAAGCGCGCTCCAGAGAGACCAGGTCTGCGCGCACCACTGCTTCATTTCATTTTTCCTGTGAGGGTGGGCTAGGAGCCGTAGACTGCTGTCGCGGGGGAAATGCCAGGGGCCGCGGGCGTACAGGCGCCGTCGGGGGCCGGGTGGCTGGGCCCGCGCCGAGGGCGTGGGGGCGGGGGCTTGGGCCGCCCCTGCAGTTGCCGAACGTCGCCAACAGGTTGCACCGTTCCCCGCTGCCGCGCGGTCCCTCGAACGGGGAGCGGCCGGGGGTGGAGTGGGAGCGCGTGTGTGCGAGTGTGTGCGCGCCGTGGCGCCGCCTCCGCCCGCCCCCCGCTCGGTCCCGCTTGCTCGCCGCGGCCGGGCGGCCCTTTCGCGAGTCCGCGCTTCTTCCCCTCCTCCTCCACCTCCATTTTGCGAGCTCGAGTCTGTGACTGGAGCCCGAGTCACCGCCTGCCCGTCGGGGACGGATTCTAGTGGGTGGAAAAGACGCTGCAGCCCGAGTGGCCGAAGTGGAGGGGCGCGGGGACAGGGACATGCGCCCGGGTGCCCCGACCCGCGGAGACTGGAGAGGGTCAGGGGGCTGTCTTGTCAGCCAGGGAAAGGGAGACTTTCTTAAATAGGGGTTCTCCCCTCCCCCCCATGGAGAAGGGGGCAGCTGTTTACTTCCTTTTTTTAGAAAAAAATATTTCCCTCCTCCTCCTCTTGCTTTCATACGCTAAGTTGTTTATATCGGCTGCGGTGGGAGCTGCGGACGGTGGCGGGTGAAGCGGAGCCTTTGAGAGAGGTAAGAAGAGGGATGGGGTGGGGGCTGGGGCCCGTGCGGGCGCTCTCTGCCCCGAGGTGCGGCTGGGGAAGGGAGGCGGACTCGGGGGACGCCACGGGAGCCCGCAAACTTTTATTAGCCTCTGAGAGTGGGGGTGAGAGCTGGCTAGGGCCGGGTGACGGTGACGAAAGGGCAACGCGCGGGTGACAGCGCTGGCCTCTTCCTCTCCCTCTGCTGCCGTTCCCCAGCGGGGCTGAGGGGGAGGAACCTGAGCTCTGACGGCTTGTGGAGCTTCTTGGAGCTGCCCCGGTTTGCACCTCTCTTTCTCCTTAGCGCAGAAACCTGACGGCGTCTTCTCCCCTCCCTCCCCCCAAGTCTCCCATTCTTTTCCCTCTCTAAAGGGGCCGCTCAGACACCCATTTTCATGGTGAACGCTAAGCCGCGTCCGAATTCTGCTCGCCCGAATATTTCCACTCCACCCTAGCGCGCCCGAGTGCGATTGGGGTTTCGGTCGAGGCTCCGGCGCGTCTCCTTTCTGGCAGGCGTGTGGCGAGTGTGTGTGCGAGTGATTGTACACACTCAGGGGGCTGACAGCTTGCAACTTAGAGACTTCGGCCAAGGCTGGCGTTATCTGGTAGAAGTGGGCGTGTCGAAGAAAGAACTCAACAGGTCTGGACACATTTCTCTTTTAACCTCGCACTTTCTTCTGGAGAGGGTTTATTTAGCGCTTTGCATGGTTTCGAACCTGACGTTTCTAGGGGCCCCATTTAGAAAAAGACCCTCTTTTCTTAACCGTGGTAGTTATGTGGTGCGATCTTTGACAAGCTCTGGTTTGATGTTTGAGGTTGCAGACTTAATAATTGCAGCCTTGTAATACCACTTAAGACCCTTGGCATGGCTCTTTATGACTGATTAATGTGATGGGGTTATTGCAATTTAAACTGAGGGTAATGTCGCTTGAGGGATCGTTTCGTTTACGTTAGAAGTATTGTTTTGGTTTCGGGTTTGAAGTCAGCTGTCAAAAAAGCGGCGTTGGACTTCATTAAACTCTATTTGATACCTGGTATTTAGAGATCGTTATCAGATAAATTCGGCGGAGGGGCAGCGAAGTAAGCAGTTTACCCTCAAGATTTGTAGTGGCAGATCGCTACCACTCCTCTCTCCACCTTCATCGCACTCTCCTTCCAGTAAGGGCCAGTCAGTGACTTTATGCTTCTTAACGTCTCTGTGCGGTAAAAGTTTCCTCTCACTGGACAGGATTTTACTATAATGTCCCAAATGTACTTTAAGTATTTGTCCTCCTCTGAAAACATCTTGATTATTGACAACATACTAGCACCCTGACTCTGTTGAGAATGGGCTCAAAATTGGGATAGGTGAAGTAAGTTTAGTATGCAGAGAAAATGATGCAGAGCATTTTAGTGGATATTTCACCTTAATTAAATGAATATGATTTTACAGTTCTAGATTTTTTTTCTATTTTTTTTCAATACTTTAATATTGTTGTTGTTGTTGTTATGTGCCGTCGAGTCAAACCCGACTCATAGTTAGGAAATAACAAAAAATCTCAATTTAGAAATATAATGGTATTTCATTCTGAGGATCTTAATCAGTTAAAAAATATAGTGTAATATAGATTGTATTGTGAGTTATGATAAGGATTGAGATAGCTGTATTTAAATTTATATATAAATAAGCTAAAATTGTAATGAGAAGCTTCCATACATTCTTTTCTGCCTTTTTGAAATTTAAATTTTGATTATCCTAAATACAGTACGTTTGTTTTTCTATATCCAGAATTTGGAGACAGGCACTGTTACGCAGGCATATCCAGTCAGAAATACGGGTTAAAAAAGAGAGGATTTTCCAACCTATTGGAAGATTAGCAGATCAGCATTGTTGTTTATTTTTTAAATAAAATTTGCATAGTTCACCAGTAGGTTGTACTAAAAGGTTTGAATGTGTGACTAACTGGTGGGAGGGGAAATTGGTAGTCATTAGAAATAGAGTGTAGTATTTATCAAATTTTATGTGTATTGGTTCTCAGTAAAGCAAACAATCTTGATTGAAAAGAGGTAGGAATTTTAATGCTCACACTTTTTTGTTTGAGATTAAATAAATAGACAGCAACTTGAACCTTTAGAATAATCAGATGTAATGAATTATAATGTCTAAGATTAGCATCCTATGAGTGGCAGGATGAATAGTCAAGCTTGTTAGGTACCATGGAGTTGAGCTTAGTCCCATACAATTTTGTTCTCAGCGTGCAAATGGACTGCATTGTACTTTTAAATGTGGTACGTTGAATGGGAGCAAAGGAAATGACTTTTCTATCCGGGAAGATGAGAAACTACTCTTCTGATAACAAGGGATTAGGTTCGGATTTAACTAAAAGGTTGATTTAATGGGCTGTCTCTTGGATCAGAGTTAATTTATAGCTTATTTTGCCCCCCCCCTTTTTTGTAGCTGATAGTCACTGATGGACTCCAAAGAATCATTAAACCCCCCCAGTAGAGAAGAAACCCCCAGCAATGTGCTTGGTCGGGAAAGAGGAAATGTGATGGACTTCTATAAAACCCTAAGGGGAGGAGCTACTGTGAGGGTTCCTGCATCTTCACCCTCACTGGCTGCTGCTTCACAATCAGACTCCAAGCAGCATAGACCTTTGGTTGATTTTCCAAAAGGCTCAGTAAGCAATGTGCAGCAGCCAGATCTGTCCAAAGCAGTTTCACTCTCAATGGGATTGTATATGGGAGAGACAGAAACAAAAGTGATGGGAAATGACTTGGGATTCCCACAGCAGGGCCAAATCAGCCTTTCCTCTGGGGAAACGGACTTTCAGCTTCTGGAAGAAAGCATCGCGAACCTCAATAAATCGACCAGTGTTCCAGAGAACCCCAAGAGTTCAGCATCTGCTGCTGTTTCTGCTGCCCCCACAGAAAAGGAGTTTCCAAAACCTCACTCTGATGTGTCTTCAGCACAGCAAAATTTGAAGGGCCAGGCTGGCACCAATGGTGGCAATGTGAAGTTGTATACCACAGACCAAAGCACCTTTGACATTTTGCAGGATTTGGAGTTTTCTTCTGGGTCCCCAGGTAAAGAGACAAACGAGAGCCCTTGGAGATCAGACCTTTTAATAGATGAAAACTATTTGCTTTCTCCTTTGGCAGCAGAGGATGATCCATTCCTTTTAGAAGGAAACTCGAATGAGGACTGCAAGCCTCTCGTTTTACCGGATACTAAACCTAAAATTAAGGACAATGGAGATCTCACCTTATCCAGTCCCAACAGCGTGCCACTGCCCCAAGTGAAAACAGAAAAGGAAGATTTCATTGAACTCTGTACTCCTGGGGTAATTAAGCAGGAGAAACTGGGCCCAGTTTACTGTCAGTCAACCTTTTCTGGAGCAAATATAATCGGTAATAAAACATCTGCCATTTCTGTTCATGGTGTGAGTACTTCTGGTGGACAGATGTACCACTATGACATGAATACAGCATCCCTTTCTCAACAGCAGGATCAGAAACCTATTTTTAATGTCATTCCACCAATTCCTGTTGGTTCAGAAAATTGGAATAGGTGCCAAGGATCTGGAGATGACAGCCTACCTTCCTTGGGGACTTTGAACTTCCCTGGTCGATCACTTTTTTCTAATGGCTATTCAAGGTAAGATCAATACTTTCATTTTTTTTCAAGAATGCAAAAGTTGTGACAGATTGATTCAGATTTATTATTCATTTGTGTTATGTGTTCTTCAGAGATTCGTGTGCTTTTCTGTGTGGATCAAGTTAATTGGACTTTTGAGAGTAGATATGGCAGCCAACCTAAGTGATTTATCTGCACATAACTATTTCAAGTTTTTTCCTGAAATACTGGCATTCAGTACCCATTGGCCAGTGGTCGAAGATTTTAAAATCTTTAAAATAGTTTTACATATTTTCAGGTATTTTATATAAACATTTGTAAATTTAAGGAGGCTTCAGGTCTGTCAATACTGTATTTTTGTGCATGTTCATTTAGCTGTTTTAGAATATGCTCTTATATTACAATAAAACATACCTTAAATACTTTATGTAACCAAAGTTTGTACTGTTGGATTAGTACATTTGTGAAATGTTAGCCTGAGGGGATTAAAGGGTTAAAAAGTAGCCGGTCCAACAATGAACCCTGTTCTTCAAACTGAACCTTCTGTTGAAAAATCTGAGTTTCGAGATTGCTAAAGCAATGCAGTCAGCAGTGTGCCAGATCATAGTAAGGACGTGGGGCTTGCCTACAGAGTTCCCCACCTAAATTAGACAAATTGTTTCTGGTGATCATTCTCTTTAAGAAAGGAGTTGATGACAGTGTTATGCAAAACAAAATTCTGCTTTCAAATGTTCCTGCAAATTTTCAAATAGATAACTGATGGCCAAATTTGTTAATCTTCAAACTATCATTTGATTTGTTTCTCAGTCGTTTATGTTTTTCTCAGTCATTTATGTTTACTGACATTTTCTGTGTGGCCTCTTTTGAGGCCTATTAAAATGAAATTATCAGGAAAAATATAAAAATAAGTAGAATTTAGATATATCCGTTGTATGGGTTAAGTTCTCTATCTCCTGTCCTTATCCCAATTCAGATGAATATTGGATTGCATACCCATTTTAGGTGTAAAGGAAAAGATAAAAATGAATTGTAGAAACATGAGATGGATTAATCATTGTTTTTTTGAAAGAAGGCATAGTAGATACAATGATCTGTACATAACCAACATGTTTTTTTCTTAAATGTTAGTGATGTTCCTTATTACTATTAACTACTCACTGAAGATTTTACTTAAAACTCTAAGATATCTTAACACTCAGAGGGCTCTGTTCCTCTTTAAGTAGTAAACTTTTCTTGTTGGGGAAAGAAAAGTTTAGACTTAGATTTAGGTTATGTGGTGAAAGACTTGATTGTTTCTTCTCAACAACAACAAAAACCTCTTTAGTTCTTATGGTTCTTTATAATATAATCTACCCACTAATCTATTATTTAAATAATATTTTTTTATTTAGAAGGACACTACTTTGACTTTTTATGTTTTTATTTCTGAATTGAAGGTTTAAAATTTATTTAATATGGAGATTTGAGGGTTTTTTTTTAATTGCATAAGCAATTGTGTTTTAAATATTAAAAGACTTGCTGTGTTTTAACCTTTTCTATATTAAACTTTTTGACAGTGGAATTCAAGATTGAATGTGTTTGGTTCTCTTAAAAGAGCTAGTACAGTTGATTTGGCTAATAAGCTATCTATAGGAAACTATTAAATTGTTCTGTAAAACATATACAAAGAAAATACATCTTAGTATTACACTGGGGAATTATGAATGCATTTTGTCCTGATAATCACAATGGTTTTGTTTTCATTTTTCTTACTATAAAAAGACATGGAACAAGACATACCATTTTACATTCACTATGCACTTTCATTAAGCCCTATAAAATCTAGGATATGGAGCATAAATCTTACATGAACACTGTTACCCTTAAATCATTAAAGGTAATACTTTTAACTTTTATAGTACATTATAACATATAAGGTGTCTTCACATATTTTTAATTTGAGCTTAATAACAACCGTGTCAAAATAGGCAAAGCACTGATGATGTGGCTCTTTAGAAATTCTTTACTGTTCAACGAAATGATTATTTTTATACCAGTGTGTGATTTGGAATTTTAGTGTGTATCCTAATGGAAAAGCATATATCTTTACAGGGTCTTTTGGTAGTGTTTGAAAATACTCTTACCTTGTGGCATTCATTAATTTAGCATTGGGAGCTGTGATTACTCAGAAGGAAGTGTCTTCCAAATAAATTGAAACAATGTTTCTTTATTTTCTGTGCTTCATCAATTACTCTATTGTTTCCAAACAACAGCCCAGTGCAACTCAGATTGGTTGCTTTCTCTATCTATATGTTGCTTGGCTCAAGCCAAACATTAGCTGTAACCAGTGGTGCTCCCTGATCAACATATTGAGCCCATAACTGGATTGAATACTGACGTTTTGACTTCAGAGATAAACAACCTAAATGCTACTAACAACTCGTTTGCATTCTTTTTCAATTAAAAGAAAGTATAAATTGTAGTCTGACTTTTTAAAATACTACCTACCATTGCATTTTCTCAGAATAAGTTTAAAAATACACCAAAATCTATATTCTGGAGGAAAGGAGATTCCTTCAGAAGTGTCAGTGTACCACAACATCCAGTTATCATATTAGATTATAAAATTATGAGTATTATGATTGATAATAGTAAAGAATTTTCTTTTTAAGGCTTAAGTTTATGGGTAGTAAAATAAAAGAAACCTTATTGCTGTGCAAAGGCAATAAGGTTTAATAAAGTGAAGTAGCCATTCTGCCTTAATAGGTTTTTAAATACTGAAATACTGCAATTCAATAAATTTAGCATAAATTTGTCACATTGATAAAAGCATGTTTTTCATAATTTGATTTTCAAAATTATGTCACTACAGTTTATTGATGGTGAAACTGCTGAAGTGGCAGAGAGAAGTAAATGTTTTCAGGTGGAGCTAGAGGTTTTATTATGTTGAAACTTTGGTGTTAAAAAACTGACCACTTTCTAGGGGTAAGATTAATGGAGAGAAAGGATACAAGATGAATTTGTAAACTCAATGTTAGGTAGAGTTTAGGGCTCTGATGATTGGCATTAAATGAAACTAGTAAAATTTATGTAGACTTTAATATCTCTCAAGGAGCTCTGCTGGCACAGTGGTTAAGGCATTTGGCTGCTAACCAAAAGGTCAGAGATTCGAACCCACCAGCCACTCCATGGGAGAAAGATGAAGTGCTCCAGAAGTTGAGGCACTCTACTTCTGTAAAGAGTTACAGATTTGGAAACCCTGTGGTGCAGTTCTACCCTGTCTTAGGGTTGCTATGTGTTGGAATCCACTCGATGGCAGTGAATGAATGAGTTAACATCTTTCATTATTAATTGTGCCTGGAAGACTGGGCAATCTACTTCTGTAGAGATACCGCCTTGGAAACCCAAGGAGGGGTCGCTATGAGTCAGATTTGAGTTGATGGCAGGGAGTTTGGTTTGGTTTTAGTTTGGTGTACAAACACAGGATGAGTAAAGCAAATTCTACCACTCAGGTTTTTTTTATTAACATCATATTGTATGTTTTCTCAGAAAGGGTGGGGCCATAAAGAAGGAGATTTTGTTATCTGATTTATACCTTCTAAAATGAATATTTAATTTTTTTCCTTTCTTTCCAAAAGTTCTGGCAGTGGTTATTTCAGTGTCTTTTAAGCTTAATGTTTCTGAAATTCACTTATATAACGTGATTTCTGAATACTGAAGGGGATTTTTCATGAGTATTTATTGATTTATTGCTGATGATCAGGTAAGGTACTTACTTTTTATGTCTGTTATTAGTAAAAAGAAAAAGAACGACAAAAATATAAGACAGAACACATAGTATTCAGGTATCTCAGTTTAGTGCAGAATGACTGATAACATAATGTGTGACTGGCAGGTGGTCAGATTTTATTGAAATTACTTCTTGTGATATTTCTTTGGCTAATGCTTTATATTTTTCTAATTGATAACATTATTTGTGTTCATAATGTTTTGGTTTTGTTTATTAGTGTTAGGTATTTTAGTTAATCTGACCACTCTTAATTATGAATGTTTATACATTTTATGAAAGACTGAATTCTGAGACATACCTTGCATATATGTAGGTTAAATGCAAACTGTATTATTAGTGAAATTATTTTGTGGTTAGATCCTTGTAGGGGTCTTCTGAAATTTTAGCCAGGGAGAGACCTGATCACAGGGATTTATTTTAGTATGAATGCCTAATATGAAAGAGCTGTACATTAATTGGTTGATTATATAAGTCTTAATCTACTCTGGCCTACAGGTGATTTAAATAGCCTAGTTTTGCTAAGAAATCTTAATTTACATAGGTTCAGAATAGATCTGGGGCATAGTTTTTAAAGCTTATATATTTTTTCTTACCTTAGTGACTATACCTAATTTTAATTGGCAGTGAGTTCTTATTATGTTCTATATTATTTATGTGGGTATATTAAATAGGAAAATAAGGTTCATTCTGAGTAGAATTTACTTTTTTGAGAACATCTAATAATATTTTCGTCAGAAGTAATTGTGTAATGTATCTATCTACAGGTATTTGCCAGATTAATGTGCACTTGCATCTATATTTCTGAGTCATGGAAAATATATGTTGGTGATTACTGTTGCATAAAGAGTTTTCAAGAAATATTTTGTTGAGTTAAGCTGTGACTGGAAAAAATATAAATTATTTATTGATCTTCACAGAAGGATTTAAAAGCTGATGCTCTCCTTATTTCTCTAGCCCAGAGGCAACTGCCCTCATTTTCTTCTGGCTAGTTGTGCTTGGGCTTTGTATTTTAAAATAAATAGAAATATTTCTACAGAGACCTTCCACTTTAAAAAAAGAACAAGCCGTTAAATGACTGTGTTCCCTAGGAATTGTGTAGGAGCATGTCTGTGCTAAACTGGTGTCTTAGTTATCTAGTGCTGCTCTAACAGAAGTGCCACAGGTGGATGGCTTTAACAAACAGGAATTTATTCTCACAGTTTAAGAGGCTAGAAGTTTGAATTCAGGACGCCAGCTCTAGGAGAAGGCTCTC